CTTGTATATGAAACACATTTATTTCATGCTAAGTATAGTACAAATTAATTTACATATTTATTCACTTAATAAAATAACCCTGTAATTGCAATACTTTTAGGATACTAAACTGAATTGGAAGTTAATTCTGCAAGACAGACTTTTCAGGAAAAGAGATTGACTAAAAATGAGCTCCTAAAACTTACTGCTAGATTCTGGAAGATGAATTCTTCAAACAGTGGCACAAGAGGATGTGATGCTCCTTCAAGAGTCACTCTCAATTTATCTGTCCATAAAACCTATAAAAATAGTCTTCATGTATTTCACAACACTTCAGCATGTGATTCTTATTAAGTGAGGGTCATATTTTAGGAAAGTTGCAGTTCTGGAAAATGCTGGCGCTGGAGACTAAATGTTTCCTGATGGTTTCACACGCAATTCTTCACATTAATTCTTAATTATTTTGCAGTTAACGTGTCTTTTCTTCTCCACCTGTTTTTTCTGACCCCGCTGACCCAGTGAGCATTTCACTGTCCAATGGTCATGCCTTAACTTTGCAATTTCTGTATTGCATTAGTTTTGAATATTTCTCATGGGGATTTAATAATTTTTGACTTTTCAGTCTGAGTTAAATCTCTTTTTTGGCTCATTTTATCTGCAAAAGAAAACCTGCCTAATAATTCTGCACACCTGAATATAAGGAGTTTTTCACGTCCAGCCTTCATGGACAATTATATATCAATTATAAATGATTAAATACAAAATTAATAGTAGTTATTGAGATTGATGTGGTTTGGAATTGGTAAAATGGGTTTGGGAAAAAAATATATATATTATTTATTTAAAATAATAATTATGCACGCATTGTATAGTCATTTTTTTTTATATCTGAAATTATGAAATTAAATATTTTGACAGAATGCCAGTTTTAATGGAACGATGGTAACTATTTATTATTACTATAATTGTCATAAATAAAACTGTGACAGAAAGAGGACAAAATTATGGATAAGGGTCAAGGGTCATCATTTATGGTGGTTTGGATGCTAAATCAGAATCTGAATGCAAAAAGAGCTTTAATAATCGTACGTCACAGGGTTAGTTTATAAATCTCTGACTAATAATGCAAATAGTTTGTTTTAGTTGTTGTAAAGTGGATAATGCAGTAATGTGACACACATTTGCTTGTGTTTTACTTTCAGCTTCTAGATGTTATTCTGACCTTCTCTGATCGCTGATGGTGAATAAAGAGCCGCTACAGACAGACATCACATTCAACAGAATCAACAGACACACACCCACAGTGATCATCACACACACGTGTTTGTGCAGCTTTACAGAATCATGCAATTCATGATTAGAAATCAGACGAGGAAAACTTCTGCTTTTTCCTCTGAAGTGACTTTTGTACTGGTGCCACATTTTACATAATAATATTGCCAGTTTTTGTGAGAATATGTGTATTTTCTGTTCAATTCTTATTACAGTAACTCAATGTAAAAATACATCAGGTTAAAATGTTTAAAACATTCATACCTTGGTAAAGTACATTCTGAAAGTAAAGTTAATTGATTTTGTACAGTTTCCATTTACAACTTTCATTATAACCAGTAAAACCATTAAAAATGATGTGGTGATTTCTATTGTTTTTTTTTGTTGTTTTGTTGTTGTTTGTTTTTTTTTCAGCAGAGGACTGAAATAAAAGCATTACTGTACTGAACTAAAATACTTGAAATCTACATAAAAAGAGTAGAATGCAAAATGTATAATATGACAATAATAAATATAAACCTAGAGTCTAGAAACCTGAAACAACAGATTTCTTCCATTTGATTATTTGTGTGTGTGTGTGTGTCAAGTCAAGTCACCTTTATTTATATAGCACTTTTAACAATACAGATTGTGTCAAAGCAACTGAACAGCATTAATTAGGAAAATAGTGTGTCAATAATGCAAAATGACAATAGTAAACACTCAATTTTCAGTTAAAGACAGTTCATCATTCGATTTAGTGATGTCATCATCCAGCTCAGTTCAGTTTAAATACAAACTTTGGATTTCATGAGAGCTACACATTCCAAGTTGGGACAGGTAGCAATAAGAGGCCAGAAAAGTTAAATGTACATATAAGGAACAGCTGGAGGACCAATTTGCAACTTATTAGGTCAATTGGCGACATGATTGGGTATAAAAAGAGCCTCTCAGAGTGGCAGTGTCTCTCAGAAGTCAAGATGGGCAGAGGATCACCAATTCCCCCAATGCTGCGGCGAAAAATAGTGGAGCAATATCAGAAAGGAGTTTCTCAGAGAAAAATTGCAAAGAGTTTGAAGTTATCATCATCTACAGTGCATAATATCATCCAAAGATTCAGAGAATCTGGAACAATCTCTGTGCGTAAGGGTCAAGGCCGGAAAACCATACTGGATCATACACAATGGTAATTCAAAGTGCTTTACAGAAAAGAAAAGAAAAAAATAAAAAATAAACCAAGGAATTTAAAAACTTTGAAAATGATTTAAAAAATTGATTTAAGAGGTTTAAAATTAATTTAAGAGAACGATTATACATAAAATATAGTGCAATCAGTTCGGACATTACACAGTGCTCATTCAGTAAATGCACAGCTAAACAGATGAGTTTTGAGTCTAGATTTAAATGTAACTAATGTTTTAGCACATCTGATCTCTTCTGGAAGCTGATTTCAACTGCGGGCGGCATAATAACTAAAAGCAGACTCCCCTTGTTTTGTGTGAACCCTTGGTATTTCTAACTGACTCGATCCTAATGATCTGAGTGCTCTGTTAGGTTTATATTCAGTGAACATATCTGCTATGTATTTACCCCTACTCCGCACCCCATGTGGACTAGGGGTGTCCTGGGATCTTACTGTAGTGCTATAGGCCACATGCTCCATCCACAAGTTTCCTACGCCCCATGAGGCCTTGCGTCAAAAGTGGGAGCATCTTCCGGTTCGGAGTAAACAAGCGGGACAGTTGACAGTCAGCCATTCAAGATTTAGCGATCCAAACCTGCTAACGATGTGGGAACACAACTTCAACGAACTTAAAAAGGGTGAAATAACAGTACCTTTAGCCTCCGCGGGAGATGGTTGGGAGGATGACGTGAAAAAGTGGCCTCGTATCACTGAAAATCAAGCCAGCCACATTTTTCTTTTGGCTGCTAATCACACAATTACGGTATGGGTGCTGGGAGCGGTCAAAATGGATGTAAAGACGCTGTTATAACGGCGTTTCCTTTATACTTTTGCCTGATTAAACTGTACAGGTGTGCAGGACACCTCGTGACGTCACTGCTTAAGGCTGGAATTCACCACACGACTTGAACATATTTTTAACACTATAAACAACACATATTTAACAACTTTATAAACCGTTATAAACAATATGTGTTCAAGAACTGGCTCTAAATATCACACACGTGATACCCTCAGACTGGATGGAATCAAAACTCTAAAACAAAAAAAAAATCTGTCAGCTCTAAACGACTGACCAAAGTATAGCACCATAGCACTGACTGAAGGCAAATAACTTCAACTTCGGGGAGTAAAATCTTTACAAAAATCATGTTACTTGTAAAGTTGCCTTCAGAGCCAACAGATCTGCAGAAGATTCAACATATTTCTGCAATATATTTTTAATTTTCAGTTTTGGGCTGGACCCCTACCTCTGTTTGTTAAATCAAGCATTCTGCGTTAGTTCAGGCTGGCCTCGTAGTCGAGCTGTGCTATCAGCAGATTGGGACAATTCAAACCCGGCCCCTATCAGCTGATCCGACTCCTAAGCACTCAATTGGCAAATCTCAAACAGGGCGGCTTACTTAAACACAGCTTCTGTCTGCTTGCTTTGCTGCTTCCTCTGTACGCTGCTTGCAACCCACCTCTTCCCCATCTCCTCCTCTAACGTCTGTTTCACTTAATGTCATTCTGTTGTCATTGTTGCATGCTCTGTTCTGGGGATTGTTTTGTGCTGCTCTCCTGTTCTTAAGATAGGAGGGTTGCCCCTGAAGCTGCTGCTGCTTCCCCGTCTTGGCTTTCATGGAGCTCATGAAAAGGACAGGGAACTTGGAACAGAGCCATGCCGTCAAATGTAACTTTAGAAAACATGCCAATAAAACCTTAAAGGGTTGTCTATGGTTTTCTTTTTGACTAAAGAGGTCCTGACTGAACTGTATCTGCATTTAGTATTTATGTAAAGCGGGCTGGTAATTAAAGATGACCAATCCTAACTGATCCGCTAAGAATTATTGTTTCCACTGAATCCATTAATGGTTGTTCCTGAAAAAAACAAATTGTAGTCATAAGATAAATAATGTGTATATGTTGCTTTTGTTTGTTTAATAGTGCATTTGCATTATTCTTTGTAAATCTGCTTTGAAACATGTTGTGAAAAACTACAAGACACATTTTTATTTTTATTGTTTTATTGATTTATTGTTTTATTGATTTGTATTTTTGTATGAAATATCTTCTCACAGCTCAAGCTGCTTTGATAGAGTAACCAGCAGAGGACAATAAAGACCAATCATAATCATCCTTCAGACTCCAACCATTTTATCTCTGAAAGACTGAAAGCTCTCAACTGTGGGAATTATACTTTCAGTTTTGTTTTTACTTAATTCTTTAACTTAATTCAAAAACCTGCAGTGGTTTATGAAATTCAGACAACCAGAATGTAAAACTAATGCAGAACTTTTACAATGTAAGTTTTTATTCTCTTAACTAAAGCTGTGTGTGTTTTGTGTTATTGTAGCAGTAGTGTTGTTTGTTTGAGGAAAAGGTTTCCCTGCTAACCTGCTAATGATGCTAACATGTTTATCATTATGCTGATGAACAAAGATGATGTTGATGGTTTTATCGGTGGTGGAATTATTAATGTAATTATTCAGTTGTTCTCCACTGTTTACTCATTGTAATCAAATGATTTCTTGGTAGCAGGTTTCTGAATTTCTCTGACTGTTTGTGTCCATTAAACACTTGGGTTTGACGGATCATGTTGAGTTGGATGATTACACTGAACATCTATAAAATACATAAAACCAAAGATTCAGATTATAGTTTGATGTTTCTTATAAGACCCACATGTGATAAATCCCTAAATAAAATTGAAACTGGAGGTTTTGACTGTGGTCAGTTATGTAGTATCTTATCACTCAGAGAAGTATTTTATCGCTGTATTAAACTCTGTGTGATGTGTGTCTGTATCTGTCTCATAACAGCTGTCTGTATTCTCATCAGGTTCAGATGCTTCAGTCTTCTGCTGCTGCTGTTTTGCTTCATCTATCAGAGCGGTCAGTGTCATTTTTTTCTTTCTTATTAAACCAGAGTTATTCTAGTCAATTGTTTCTCTTCTGGTAAGTTAAGATATTTTGTTGCTATTAATGGATTGATGCTAGAGTTTTCTCAGCATATTAAATCATCACACACTATGACATCACTGACTTATCTATACAGTTATTAATCAATCTATTAATAAATACGGTTTGGTCTGGGATGTTGATGAATTCACTTCAGCTGCACTGACGCATCTGCTTTAGCTTTAGCTTTGTTTTGTCATGAATGAGGCCTGTTTGTGAACTCTGAAAGACCAATAAGACACAAAACTGACTCATAAGATGAACAGTTCTGAACTGAGGAAAGTGGAAATAATCCGCAGGGGCACATAGACATATTTTCATACTGTAATGTTTCTGCATATTGCATAATTTCCTTTTCATGAGAAATAGCCCATGCATGGCTCGAACCAACAACCTTAAACTTTACAGACATTTCTGATGTTAAATATTGAAGAAACTCCATCAGTTCACAATTGCTGAAGACACTTGGACAGTGAAACATCTTTAGCAAAAGTAAATACAACTGACTAAATTAAAATAACTCTCCTAGAATATTTTATGGTGACACTGATTACAGAAAATAAACACAGACACCGCATGTATTTTTTAGTATTGATACGTTGTATTGAATGAATCTGTGTTTGCAGGAGCCCCGCCTGTAGGAACCAGCACTATATCTGTGTCAGGAAAAAAGAGAGACAACGTCACACTGCCATGTCAATTTGAGACCAAAAAGATTTCTGATATTAGTTTAAACAATGGGTCAGAAAACATCCCTGTCTGTCAGACTGAAGAATGTAGTGGACGAGTATTTAAACAAGGAAACTGTGACGTCGTCTTCAAGGATCTGAGCTTCAGTGATGCTGGGAAATACTTTATGAGAGTCTATTACAATAATGATCAGACAAAGCTGAGGCGACAAATCAGGACGTACCAACTTCATATTCATGGTAAAGTCAAAACTGGTCAAATTACCAGCATCTGCTTTCTGGATTTCCTTTAATAATTGTGTGATAACCATGTAACCAGCAGACACTCTGAACGGGACACTAATATTCAGATTAATCTGAATATTGGCTGATTTTATCCACTGATAAATGATTACATTTGTTCCCCCGGTCTTACATATATGCTTATGCTGTTTCTCCTCAGATGAGGTTTCTGTGAAAGTAGGTGAGGAGCACAAGTTAGATGTTCTTTCTAATGCTAATCAAGTTGTGCACTGGACCAGAAACAAAACAAGTTGGAGGGAGGTTTGGAGCAGAAGTAGCGGAGCTCAGAGCGATCAACTGACCGTCACTGATGGGACTCTGAGCATTAAAGAGTTTACAGCCAATGATGCAGGAACATACAGAGTTCTGGACTGTGAAGGAGAAATCTTGATCACAGTGACCGTCACAGGTGAGAGAAGCTCAGTGGATATGTGGAAATATTATTTATATAATAAGTGGACAGCTGAGGTTTATTCATGATTCACGTTTGAACAGCAAATTGATGCTAAATTGTGATTAAACTTTTGATATCCTCTACAGAGTCAGATACAGAATCAAAGGGAAAACACTACAACACAGATGATGACAAAACTGATAACACAAGACAACACTGTAAGTAAATCAAGAGGCATTGAGAGCTTCATTAAATCTTTAAACAGTCCGGTTTAAAAAGAAAAAACAAATATTAAAATGTGTTCTCTTCCCACCTTCCCCTTCTAGCTGTTGGGTTTTGGATTATGATTGTTGGATTTACTTTAGTTCTGCTGGTTCCGGCTTTGATTATTCTTCCTGTCATCAAGAAGCAGAGAGTTTCATACTAAGGGACCTAAATTGTATGGGGCCCTGAACCCAGTGAAGCCACCGGTTACTTATGGCTTCAGAAGCAACAGGATTCTGTCAACATATTTCTGCAGCTTATGTGTAATTTACAAAACATATGAGCATTTGCACTGCAGCCGTACACCAGCACTCACAGTTAAAGTGATCTATAGACTGGTTACTGAAGGATTACCAATCATAAATCATCAACTAGTTATTATTGATAATTTAATTTTTATCATGCATCTGAGAATGAAGCCTGTGCATGCATGTATATTTTGTATTATTTTATTTTTACATATTACTATGTATATTTAATATGGCCTTCGCAAGAGTCTTAAGCTTCTTATAGTGTCTTCATCATCTACTGGAGATTTTCTCCTTTCCACTGTTGCTTTTGTCTGTTTAATAGAGCATTTGTGTTATTCTTTGTCAGTCTGCTTTGAAAGAATGTGTATTGAGAAAAGCTAAATAAATTAAACAAATTAAATTAAATAAAAAAAATAAATTTTTGTAAGAATTAAAAATCAGGGTATCAGCGAGTCCTTAAAAAGGCTTACATTTAGTTGCATTAAATTTAAGGCCATTAAAAGTCTTAAATGGTACAAGAAAGTACTTAATTATGATTTCAAGAGTTCTTAAATTTGATGAATGAAAAGTCAAGAATTGCGATATGGCTTAATGTGATGATTAAACTTTAAAAGGCTGTGATTTCATTAAGTATCTCATTCAGTGAATGTTACTGTCACAGTAACAGGCGTTCTTTCAAAAACGTCAGTTAATGTTAATTATTCATATGTAAATTATTAAATAGCCTACATAGCCTAATTCACAAAATCATGTCACCGAAAATCATGCAAAATTATGCTAAACTTTAGAGAGATCAGTCTGTGCCTAGAGACAAAGGGATAACCAGTCACACCCCTCTTAACATTAGTGAGGAAACATTCCCTCTCTGGAAGCGATATACGTGTGTTCGTTTTAGCCATCGAACGCCCTTTGGGTCATAATTAGCTTACCTGTTAAAGGGGTCATATGATGCGATTTCAATTGTTCCTTTCTCTTTGGAGTGTTACAAGCTCTTGGTGCATAAAGAAGATCTGTAAAGTTGCAAAGACTACGTCCCGACTGGATGCAACGAATGCTTCATTTATAATGGGTTTTCATGTTTTTGAATAATCGCTCCGGCCTGACTCATCACAGTATGGTAGGGGCGTAACATTTCCGTCACACGCTTGAGGTATTCGGCCAGTCATAACGCACTGGATAGCTGGCCAATCAGAGCACACCTTGCTTTTCAGACCGATGAGCTTTGTAAAAATCAACGCGTTTCAGAAAGGCGGGGCATAGAGGAGAAACAACAATGTACAGTATGT